AGATCCTGGGATAAAACCCACTTGGTTGTGGTGTATAATTTGTTTGATGTGTTGCTGGATTCTGTTGGTTAGTATGCTGTTGAATATTTTCGCATCAATACTCATTAGTGATATTGTTCTATAATTTTCTTTTCTTGTTGGGTCTTTTCCGGTTTGAGAATCAAGGTGATGTTAGCTTAATAGAATGTGTGGGGTAGTATTCCGTCTTTTTCTATATTTTGGAAAAGGTTGAGTAATATAGGTACTAGTTCCTCTTTAAAGGTTTGGTAAAATTCTGACGTGATGCCATCTGGTACCAGGATTTTCTTTTTAGGGAGATTTTGTATAGTTGATGCTATTTCAGAACTTGATATAAGCCTGTTGAACATTTTCACTTACTTCTGGCTAAGTCTTGGGATGTGGCGTGTTCCCAAGTATTGGTTGATTTCCTTCAGATTGTCATATTTCTGGGAATAAAGTTTCTTGTAGTATTCATTAAGGATTTTTTGAATTTCTAAAGGGTCTGTTGTTATTTCATCTTTATCGTTTCTGATTGATGAGATTAGAGATTTTACTCTCTTTTTCTTGGTTAGGTTGGCCAAAGGTTTCTCTATTTTATTGACCTTTTCAAAGAATGAACTTTTTGATTTGTTGTTCTCTTCTATCATCCTTTTATTTTCAATTTCATTTATTTCTGCTCTCATTTTGGTTATTTCTTTTCTTCTGAGGGATTTGGGATTGGAATGTTCTTCTTTTTCCAGTTGCTTGAGATGTCCCATTAAGTTGTTAACTTCCTCTCTTTCTGTTCTCTTGAGGAAGGCTTGCAATGCTATAAATTTCCCTCTTAGGACTGTATTTGCAGTATCCCAGAGGTTCTGATAACTTTTGTCTTCATTATTGTTTTGTTCTAAAAATTTGATAATTTCCTTCTTGATCTCGCCTCTGACCCATCTATCATTCAGCATAAGGTTATTTAGCGTCCATGTTTTTGTACAAGACTGCAAATTCCTGTTGTTAATGAATTCAACTTTTTTTTTTTTTGAGACTGGGCCTCAAGCTATTTCCCTGGGTAGAGTGCTGTGGCATCACAGCTCACAGCAACCTCCAAATCATGGGCTTAAGCGAGTCTCCTGCTTCCGCCTCCCAAGTAACTGGGACTACAGGCGCCTGTCACAACACCTGGCTATTTTTTGTCACAGCTGTCATTGTTGTTTTCGCTGGTCCAGGCTGGATTTGAACCTGCCACCTTAGATGTATGTGCTGGTGCCTTGGCCAACTGAGCCACAGGCACCGAGCCTGAATTCAACTTTTATTACATGATGGTCCAAGAAGATGCATGGAATAATTTCTATTCTTTTAAATTTACTGAGGTTAGTCTTATGACCTAAGATGTGATCGATTTTGGAATATGTTCCATGAACTGATGAGAAAATTGTGTATTCAGTTTTGTTAGGGTGAAAAGTTCTGTAGATGTCAGTTAAGTCGAAAAGTTGAATAGTTAAATTTAAATCTAAAATTTCTTTGCTAAGCTACTTATTGGAGGATCTATCCAACACTGCCAAAGGAGTGTTAAAATCTTCAACTATGATGGAGCTGGGGAGATCAAGTTGCTCATGCCTGTTAGAGTATCTCTTATAAATTGAGGTGCATTCTGGTTGGGTGCATAGATATTGATAATTGAGATCTCGTCATATTGAGTATTACCCTTAACAAATATAAAGTGGCCATCCTTGTCTTTGCTTACTTTTGTTGGTTCAAACCCTATTGTATCTGCAAATAAAATTGCAATACCTGCTATTTTCTGCTTTCCATTTGTCTGGTATATAGATGACCATCCCTTCACCCTGAGTCTATATTTGTCTTTTAAAGTAAGATGTGATTCTTGAATACACAGATGTCCGGTCTGAGTTTCTTTAGCCAGTCTGTGGCTGTTTAGAGGACAATTTAAGTCATTCACATTGATTGAAATTATTGATAAGCCTGGTGAAATTTTGGGCATCAAGTTGCTTGAAAGTCCAGTAGATATTTTTAATCCTTTCACCCTTCTGGAGGCTGGAATTTGATCAAAAGTTTCTGAGTTAGTTTACTTTTGTGGTGGAGGATTGCACTGACCATTATGGAGGATAGGTTTGAGAATTTCCTGGAGAGCTAGTTTAGTTATGGCAAATTCCTTCAACATGTGAATGTCATTAAAGTATTTAATTTCTCCATCATAGATGAAACTCAGTTTAGCTGGATACAGGATCCCGGGTTGAATGTTATTTTGTCTTAGGAGAATAAAAGTTGATGACCATCCTCTTCTATCCTGAAAGGTTTCAGCTGAGAGATCTGCAGTCATCCTAATACTCTTCCCCTTGTATGTTATGGTTTTCTTACATCTGACTGCTTTCAGAAGTTTCTCTTTCATCTTAACTTTAGTGAAGTTAATTATGATGTGCCTGGGGGATGTCTTGTTCAGGCTGAGTCCCACTGGGGTTCTGAAACTATCTGCTATCTGAATTTCAGAATCTCTTGGCATGTCTGGAAAGTTATCTTTCATAATTTCATGAAGAAGAGCATCAGTGTTTTGTTAAGCAACATCATCGCCTTCAGGGATTCCTATAAAGAGAACATTAGTTTTCTTCAAATGTCCAAGAGCTCTCTGAGAGAAAGATCTTTTTTTGCTCTCCATTTCTTTTGATCTTTGTGCTCCTTGGCTTGTTCAAAAGCTTTGTCTACAAAGTCAGAGATCCTTTCTTCTGCCTGTTCCACTCTTTTACAGAGGGATTTCACTGTATCTTTCAGATCCTTGAAGGCTGCAACCTCTTGTCTTGGTATTTCAAATTTTTTGATCATTTTATATTTGAAATCATTAAATTCTTAAGACATCTTTTGAATAATTTCTTGAGATATCTTTTGAATAATTTCTTGTAATTCTAATTCCCTCCTTTCTTCCATTCTGTTAATCTTATTTGCAATCCAAATTCTGAACTCGATTTCTGACATCTCAGTCATCTGTTTATGGATAGGGTATTCAATTGCATCTGCCCCATCTTTCCTTGGGGGAGTTTATCTGCTCTGGTTATTCAAGTTGCCAGAGTTTTTCTGCTGATTCCGCCCCATTCTGAGTTTACCCTGTCTGGAGACCTTATCAGAACCGTTCAGTCAGTGGCTTCTTCTGGTTGCCCAGAGAGATGGGGCATGTCTGTCATCTCTCTGTTCTCGGGCGCTGGGACGACCAGGGCACAGCAGAATGGCAGCAGCTGCGCAAGTGCATGCATAACCAGATCAGGCCTCATTTGGCCTGCTGGGATGCTCAAGGTGCAGGAGACCAGCAGCAGCTGGATCAGTCCTAGTTTGGCTCCACTGGGGTGATGGGGGTGTCAGGGGAACTGCAGTGGTCATGCAGGGCACTTCCACTGCTGGATCCGTCCTAGTTCAGCCCCACTGCAGTTACCATGGGGCAGATGAATGACAGTGGCTGCACAGAGGACAAGTGCAGCTGAATCAGTCCTACTTCAGCCCACTGGAGCAATGGGGGGAAGCATAGAAGGGGAATGCCAGCGGCTGGATGAATCCTCCTTTCGCCTGCTGAAGCAGCCAGGGTGGCAGGAGAATGGCAGCAGCCAGATCAGTCCTCGTTTGGCCCCACCAGGACCACCAGGGAGCAGGGAAATGGCAGCAGCTAGATCAGTCCTAGTTCAGCCCCACCAGGGCTACTGGGGGCAAGGGGAATGGCAGCGGCCAGATCAGTCCTTGATCAGCCCCACTGGGGCAACCAGAGGTTAGGGGAATAGCATCGGGGACAGTCCTACTTCTACCCCGCTGGGCAACCAGGGAACAGGGAAACTGCTGCAGCTAAATCAGTCCTAGTTCAGCCTGGTGATAATTGATAAGCCTGGTGAAATTTTGGGCAACCAGGGGGCTAGGGAACAGCAGCGGTGGTGCAGGGCATGTGCATGACCCGATCACTCCTAGTTCGCCCTGCTGGGGCAACCATGGGGCAGGGGAACAGCAGCAGCTGGATCAGTCCTTGTTCACCCCCGCCAGGGCAACCACGAGGGCAGGGGAATGGAGAGCGAAGGACTCCAGCCACCCGCTGGAAACACATGGCTCTAGCAAACAGTTCTGGGCCCACCCGGAGTGGGAGCCTGAAGCTGGGATCCCCTCTGCTGCCCATGGGGTGCTTGACTCTAGCAAGCAGTTCTGGGCCCACCCAGAGTTAGGGACTCCTCCACTGCTGCCCGCAGGGCACATATTGCTCTAGCAAGTAGTTTTGTGCCTTCCCGGAGCTGGGGGCTCCTCTGCAGCCACCCACCACTCATGGAAAGTGTGCGGCTCTATCAAGCAGTTCTGGGGCCCATTTTGTACCTGTATTTGTGTTCTTAAATGCTCTTGCTTGCATTTACAGCTTGCTGGGCCTGACCAGAATGGGGGACTCCTCCGCCAACCCCTGTGAGGCATGTGTGGCTCTAGCAAGAAGTTTTGGGCCTGCCCAGAATTCAGGACTGCTTCGCAGCTGTTTGCGGGACACACACAGCTCCAGCAAGCAGATCTGGGCTTGCCCAGAGCGGGGGACACCTTTGCCACTGCCTGCAGAGCTGCATGGCTCGAGCAAGGAGTTCTGGGCCCACCTGCAGTGGGGGACTCCTCCACCGGCCCCTGTGGGGCGCATGGGGCTCTAGAAAGCAGTTCTGGGCCGCCCAGAGTGGGGGACTTCTCTGCCAGCCGCTGCGGGGCACCTGTGGCTCTAGCAAGGAGTTCTGGGCCCACCCAGAGTAGAGGACTCCTGTGCCACTGCCCGTGGGACACGTGTGGCTCTAGCAAGCAGTTCTGGGCCTGCCCCTAGTTGGGGACTCTTCTGCCACTTCCCCAAGGGATGTACGTGGCTCTAGCAAGTCGTTCTGAGCCTGCCTGGAGTGGAGGACTCCTGCACTACCCTCACTGGGTGTGTGTGGCTCTAGCAAGCAATTATGGGCCTTCCAGGAGCAGTGGGCTCCTCCGATGCCATCTGCAGTGTGCGCGGCTCTAGGAGTGGAGGACTTCGCTGCCGCCACTAGTGGTGGATTTTGTACCTTTTGATTGTATTTTTGGGGTTACAGCTCACCTCAGAAAAGTTGTTCTGTGTTCTTCAATCTTCTCTCTTGGCTCAGCTCCAAACCATCAGCTTACTTGCCAGACTTCTGTCCTTTATGTCTCCTTCTGGATGGGAACCTCTGCGGGAAGCTGGCTGCAGTCTGCTGTCTTGGCTCCACCCCCCACTCTAATTCAGCAATGACTATTTCAATCTCCCCACCTTTTACCCCCTGAGTTTTCCTCCCCAAAAAGCTAAGGAGCAATTTCCCTTTGTTTCTACCCTCATCTCCAATACAGTCAGCTCCAGGATTATGCTAAGGACGCTTTCCTGTTCAGATGAAACACAGACAAAATATTCTACCCCTCAGGATGAGTATCTTTGTGGGGAACTGTGATAAACCAAAAAGGAAATAAAAGAAGAAGAAATTTTAAAAAAGGTCAGGTTTACAAAGCAAAAGTTTCAAGCTTCACAATGAATGCTGATTTTGTTAAACAGTAGTGCACTCCCAGGGCTGTTACACCAGTTTCCACTCTCAGAATTTTCTTTTCTTTCCACCTTCAACTGTCTCTTCCGGAGAATAGCTTGGAGTTATGACTCCAATCACTGAGATCTTCTAGGGGGAGAAATGGGGGATAAGAGGGTAAAGGGCCCTTTCTTGCTGAATCCCAAAGCCCTCACATTTCTCAAAGTGAATATTTATACAAAACAAAGTAGTCCAGTCCCAACTGCTTAGTAGCTTTGGTTCCAAAACTCTTTTGGAAAATACTGAAAGAACTTTTTTTTTAGGGACTTAAAGAATGTTAGCATGGGCAAAATCCCTAGGTTATTCAATCCAAATTCTCTGAATTGCAGAAGAATAAAATGGGTTCTCCGTAATTGGAGGTAACTTACCCAGGATCACTTAAAAGCAAAGTGAAAGTGAAAAGACTTAATACCCACAAGAGCTGGACAATGTTAAAGGCTTTCCTTCTGAGGACTGGTTGTGATTGATGGGAAGGCTGGAAGAAAGCAAAAGGGCATAGAGAACATTGATGTATAATAGAAGGGAAGGTGAGGGATGTCTCTCAGACACTTTCTGGGGGCTAGCACTGTGACCCTAGTTCCCAGGTGAATATGGCATTTATGCTTATTTCTTTCCTCTGTTCCCCTTACTCAGGCAACCCAATCCTGGAAGCAGAAGAGAGTGCAAAAGGGCCCTGGAAAGGAGATGTGTATATTCCTTGCACCTATGGTTCCTTGCAAGGCTACACCCAAGTCTTGGTGAAGTGGCTCATACAACATGGCTCAGACCCAGTCACTATCTTTCTATGTAACTCTTCTGGAGACCATATTCAGCAGGCAAAGCACCAGGGCTGCCTGTGTGTAAGCCATGAGGTTCCAAGAGATGTGTCTCTCCAACTGAGTACCCTGGAGATGGATGACTTGAATCATTACACGTGTCAAGTTACCTGGCATGCTCCTGATGTCAATCAAGTGGTGAAAGATAATATTATTGAGCTCTGCGTCCAGAAACATGAGTCACTGAGGGTAGGAAAGCATTGATAGGCAAAGATCCAGCAGATGACTATAATTTTAGAAAACATTGAGAAACCTAGAGACCTTTGTATATGTATACTTAAGCTATCCTCAGTCATTTGTGATAATCAAAGGAAGGGGACAGGCAGAGGATCTTTAGGGTTATCACTCCCATGGAAGAATTTAAGAAGTATTGGGAAAGGTCCCCAGCTTTCAAATATCTATCCCTTCAGATGTCCCAGGAATTTTATCATCCATAGCCTGGTTGCCCTCCTTGGCATCTGGGACTTAAAATTCATAAAATAAAGTATACCTGGTCATTGTATCAGGCAGTAAATAGGTGCTGAGAAAGAATTTATGGGGGAAAGGAGGCAGAAGTTAGCCAAGATATGCTTTACTGGTTTAAAAATTTACTGCAGATAATCCAAAAGTCTACTAAAAACAAATTAAAAAATTTTTTAAGCTTGTTGATTTTTAACTCTGGAGAATTCAAAACCTCAGGTCATGCAAAAAAAAAGTAGCTAATACTCCAAAGGAAACTATGTATTTGCATTGACTTTTTCTCTTCTTCCTTTCCAAGTCAGGATACTCTTTAGCTTTGATTGTAGATGTATGCATGTCCTTATGTCCAGGAGAACTGATTCAGTCTTAGGTCCCCATATCATTATGACTTACCATAGTCTCCTCTCTTGTCTTTCCTTTATAGTTCCTGTATCCAAACCCAGTGACAAATGGCAGTGGTTATGGCTTCATGGTGCCCCAGGAAATGAGGATTAGCCTTCAATGCCAGGCTCGGGGTTCTCCCCCCATAAGTTATGTTTGGTACAAAGAACAGACTAATAACCAGAAATCTACCAAAGTAGTAACCTTAAGTATCTCACTCTTCAAGCCTGCTGTGGTATCCAACTTGGTCTCCTATTTCTGTACTGCCAAGGGCTGGGTTGGTTCTGAGAAGCACAGTGATACTGTGAAGTTTGTGTCAAAGGTAGGCAGCCCTTTCTCCTGGTAAATATCTAACAGACCATATTGAACCAAAGATACCTCAAAATAGGTGGGTGGAGGGAGGGTGATTGGTGGTCTCATGCCTATGGCTCATCCTATAAGGGTACATGTGAATCTCTCTAAATGTAGAATATAAATGTCTTAACACAATAACTAAGAGGAAGACATGAAGCCTATGTTAACCAGTTGAATGAAAGTATTTCAAATTGTATACAGAAACAGTACACTGTACCCCATGATAGCATTAATGTACACTGCTATGATTTAAAAAAATATATATTCTCTTATGCCAGAGAAGGGTTGTAGGAAGAAGGTCTCAGGTAGGCAATGGTTGTACAATCACAATGAAAAAAAAAATGGGGACTGGAAATAACAGGGCTAGGGATTGAGTGTCTTCTTGTAGGTTAAGCAAGTGAAAACAGTAAAGAGAAAAGTGACATTTACTAAATACCTTGTATTTGTCAGATACAAAGTAGAATACCTGGCACACATTTTTCTTGTTGAATCCCTACAATTGCTAGCATTACTCTTATCTTAAAGAAGATGAAACTCAGATTTAGAAAGGTGAATTTACTTGCCCATGCAAGGGCTCACAGCAAGGAAGTACAAATACAGAATTTCATTCAGATTTTATCTTCTTTCTACTAAACTGAATGTTTCCCATACTTGAATTTATATCAGATCCTTGGCACCCTTTGGAAGCTATTATTTTTTAATTTTTTTCTGCATTTTGTTTGTTTTAGCTATTGTTTTTGCCTATTTGGTCACATTTGGTTTGAATTGTGAAATAAATCCTACATCTCTACAGATTTTCTTTTAATTCCCCTCCACACACACTTCATTCTAAATCCATGTTCCTGTTCTTGTTGAGGTCTTCATGAAGATGGGCTTTGGTTAATCAAGGTGTGATTATTTCTTACAGTATTGTCCTGGGAGCACTACAAACTATTCACATAAAAACAGCACTCTGGGGTTTAAATGAAGAGTAAAATAGTGATAGATCCAGATGAGTCTTCTTATCTTTCAAGAGAGTTCCTTGGAAACGAAGATAATTGGCCCAATAAGGCTGCTGTTGCAAAACATGTTGGAAACTAAATGTTTTTAGGGAAATACTCAGAGAACCACCTGAAACTACTGTCCTCTGAGGCAGAGGGGAGTGAGGAAACTGGGTATCATAATTTGGGTTAGGAAGCTGACTGATGTTGGCTTGAGACTCCTGTGTTTACCTGGAGGAATTTGTTTCCCAAAGTGAAGTTGTTAGAAGATGTGTGTACTGTAGATCCTGGTTTGCTAATTTCAGGGGAAAAAAGGCAGTCCACCTTGACAGAGTTACATGAATAGTGCCCCAACTCTCTGAGAGTTGACAGTCTGGTTAAACAGAAAGAATAGGGCATGATCAGAAAGTCCAAAAATGTGTACTTCATAAAAAAAAATCAAAAATTCTTGCCTCCCCATAAGTTATTTTCCAGGCCATCTGGGCAAGAACTTGCTCACAGCCAAATAGCCTGTCCATTCCTTGTCACAATCAATGCTTATCACAATGCTGTTAGGCAGTGCTCAACATTAACCTCTATTTACAGATAAGGAAACTGAAACTCAGAGAATTTTCAGCCTTCTACTTTTCCCTGTTCTCTGAGCTACGCTACTGGTTTTTATTTTGTTGTTGTTGTTTTTCTTTGAGATAGAGTCTCACTTTATCACCCTCAGTAGAGTGCTGTGGTGTCACAGCTCACAGCAACCTCCAACTCTCCGCTTAGGTGATTCTCTTGCCTCAGCCTCCCAAGTAGCTGGGACTACAGGCACCAGCCACAAGGCCCAGCTATTGTTTTTGTTGCAGTTTGACCAGGGCCGTGTTTGAACCCACCACCCTCAGTATATAGGGCCCATGCCTACTCACTGAGCCACAGTCACTGCCCTATGCTACTGTTTCTTTCATTCCTTTCCCTGCTTTCCTGCCCACGCTAACCTGGTCCCATGAGCTTAGTCCCTTGTTTTATGTCTGTTCTACAGAGCTTTCAACCTTTTACTCTTACACCTCACTTTCTGTACTCAGTTCTGGAATGGCTCTGTAGCCTATGCTCTTGAACGGCTGAGCTTTGCTGAGAGATAAAACAAAACACAGGTATGCATCAAACCCACTTTAGATTAATGTTATGCAACATTCACTACCTGCCCCATCTTTGCTCTTAGAAAATGAGATCACCTCTTTGTCTGAGAAAATCCAGACCCTCTTCAAAAGTGAATTCTATCAGCTATCCTCTCTCTCTTGATATTTCTTTTCCCGTTTCCTTTTGACTCAGAGTAAGGGGTGTTTGGGGTCTGTCATTGACCTCCAAATCACCAAACCTCAAGACCTCACCATTCACACACATCCTATGAAACAACTCTATAGCAATTAACCATGTTGGTCATTCCTTCCTCCTCAAAATTCTTTCAACCACTACTATTAATGACATGATTTTCTCTTGGTTCTCCTAAGATCTCTAACTGATCCTTCTCAGACCCTTTTGTGCTGTTTCGTCTTTTATTCACCCCTTAATTGTAAATATTCTCAAAGACTTAGTTTATATTACTTTCTTTATATATCTCTATATAATCAGAAGATTTTATTTACTTCTGTGCCTTGAAATATTACCTCTAGACTGATGATTCTAAACCATAATTTTATCTGTAATTTCTCTCAATGGGCAGTGCCTGTGGCTTGGAGGAGTAAGGCGCCGGCCTCATATGCTGGAGATGGTGGGTTCAAACTCAACCCCGGGCCCTCCCCCCAAAAAAATTTCTCTCAAGCGCTAGATCCCAATTTTTAGTTACTTCCTGGACAACCTCATTTTAATTTCACCTTGTTCAAAATTGAACTTACCTTTTACTGCTCAAACCTATTAGGAGAAACAGCAGTATTTTTTTTTTTTTTTTGAGACAGAGCCTCAAGCTGAGCCCCTGGGTAGAGTGCCCTGGCTTCACTGCTCACAGCAACCTCCAACTCCTGGGCTCAAGTGAGTCTCCTGCCTCGGCCTCCCAAGTAGCTGGGATTACAGGCGCCCGCCACAATGCCCAGCTATTTTTTGGTTGCAGCCATCATTGTTGTTTGGCGGGCCGGTCTGGATTCAAACCCGCCACCTTAGGTGCATGTGGCTGGCGCCTTAGCCGCTTGAGCCACAGGAGCCGAGCCAAACAGCAGTATTTTTGACTCTTCCTTCTCCTTTACTACTCACAGTCAGATAATCATCACTTTCACCAAGTGCTATATTCAACTACCGAATGAGATATCTTAGTAAGCTTCTCCCTTCTCTTCCCATACCCTTATAGTCTCATTGTCTTTTTTCTGAACAATTTTAGTACTTTTCTAAATAGTTCCCCCACATCAATATGTCCTTATCAAACCATCAACTTATACAACATTTATTATCTATTTTACATCATTATATTATAAAATCCAAGAGTGCATAATTCTGCTTGTATACTTCATAGTTGTTCTCCAGAATCCAGCATAGTACTTGGTGCATAGGAAACACTAACTGAATAATGTACTATGTATTTTTAAATGAATTCTACTCTCTCATCTTCAAAAATTCCACCACACTGTTGTCAGAATTATTTTCCTACAACTTAGACTGAGTGATATTTACTTTTTTTGTATAAAAGATTCTGCTACTCTCCATAATTCCTTCTACCCAAAGAACAAAGTCTAAAATCTTTTAGTCTGTCCCTCGGCTGCTATCTAGCCTTTATCTTCCAATATTAAATCCACAGCTAAACCATAGTGTGTTATTCCCTCTGCTTACAGTGTTCTTCCACTATCTCAGCCTAAATAAATTCCAGTGATCTTTCACTGACATCTTCTTGTATTGAGATATACTTTGGATACTAAAAAATTTAATATTTTAAAGTATGTAATTCATATTATTTTGCAACCCTCACCATGATCTAACTCTAGAACATTCTAATCACCTAAAAGGAAACCCCATACCCATAAAATGGATACTTCCATTCTCCCATTTCTTAACCATTAGGAAACATTAATCTGGTTTCTGTCTCTAAACATTTGTCTATATTGGACATTTTATATAAGCTAAATCATACAATATGTGACATTTTATGCCTGTTTTCTGTCACTCAACATTTTCAAAATTCATTCATTCATGTATGCTATAGCATATGTTAAAGCTTTATTATTTTTTTGCTAAATAATATTCCATTGCATGGATATATCATGTTATTTACCCATTCTTCTGTCCAGATGGGAATTTGAGTTGTATCACTATGAATAATGCTTCCATGATCAATCATGTAAAAGTTTCTGTGTGGATATATGTTTTCGGTTCCCTTAGGGAATATGACTTAAGAGTAGAATGGCTAAGTCATATAGTATCTCTAGTTTTAACTTTTTTTTTTTGAGACAGAGCTAGAGTGCCATAGTGTCAGCCTAGCTCACAGCAACCTCAGACTCCTGGGTTCAAGTGATCCTCCTGCCTCAGCCTCGTGAGTAGCTGGGACTACAGATGCCCATCATGATGCCTGGTTAAATCTATGTTTAACTTTTCAGCAAGTGCCAAACTTTTCCTAAAGTGGTTATACAATTCTACCTTCCTACCAGAAATATCTAAGGATTGCAATTTCTGTACAGCCTTACCCACACTTGATATTATCTGTTTTATTTTTTTTATTATAGATATTCTAGTGGATATGAAAAGGAATTTCACTGTGGTTGTGATTTGCATGACTCTCGTGATCAATAATGTTAATCATGTGCTTATCAGCTATTTGTATGCCTTCTTTATAGATTAAATATTTAAATCATTTTAAAATTAGGTTCATTGCTTTTTTTGTTGTTGAGTTATAAGCATTTTTATATATTTGGAATACTAGATTCTTATCATATATGTTATTTGCAAAGATTTTCTTTCATTCTATATGTTGATTGTCCTTTGAAGTGCAGAAGTTTTTTAATTTGATGAAGTCCAACTTATTTAGTTTTTTTGTTTTGAGACTTGTATTTTTAGTGTAATGTTTAAGAATCTATTGTCAAGTATAAGTCTATGAACAGTTATCCAATAGTTATCCTTGTTTTCTTTTAAGGGTTTTGTAGTTTTAGCCCTTATGCTTATGCCTGATCTACTTTGAGTTAATTCTGGTATATGGTATAAAGTAGGAGCTCAATTTCATTCCTTTCCATGTGCCTATCTATTCCTGTAACATTAGTTGAAGACACTATGTTTTCCCATTTAATGGTCTTGGCAACCTTAGTAAAAATCAATGACAAATGACATGTAGGTTTATGTCCAGACTCTCAATTTTTTTCTAAATATTATATTATGACATTTTTGATGCTAGTGAAATGAAATTTTTTCTGAATAGCATTTTTTTTTCCTTTGAGACACAGCCCCAAGCTGTCACCCTGGGTAGAGCACTGTGGCATCATAGCTCACAGCAACCTCCAACTCCTGGGCTCAAGCGATTCTCCTACCTCTACCTCCCAAGTAGTTGGGACTACAGGGGCCCGCCACAACAGCTGGATATTTTTTGGTTGCAGCAGTCATTGTTTGGTGGGCCCAGGCTGGATTCAAACCCACCAGCTCAGGTGTATGTGGCTGGTGCCTGGGCTACTTGACCACAGGTGCCAAGCCTGAATATCATTTTGGGATTATTCATTGCTAATGTATAAAAATACAACTGATTTTTTTATACTGATCTTGTTTCTTGTAACCTTGTTGACTTCATTTATTGGCTCTAGTCAAAGTTATGTGGATTTTAAAGGATTTTCTATATATGATCATGTCAAAAGAAATAGATACAGTTTTATTTCTTCCTTTCCAGTCTGGATAAATTTTATTTCTATTTCTTAAATAATTTATCTGGCTAATACCTCCTGTACAATGATGAAAGAACATGTCAACAGTGAAAAACCTTGTCCACTTGCTGATCTTACACACACACAAAATTAAGTCTTTCATTATTAATTTTGATGTTAACTGTGGGGATTTTGGTAGAAGCCCCTTATCAATTTGAGAAACTTCTTTCTATTCCTAGTTCGCTTAATGTTTGTATTATGTAAGTGTATTAGACTGTATCAAATGATTTTCTCTTTGTCTATTAAAAAGATTGTGTGGTTCTTCCTCCTTTATTCTATTAATGGAGTATATCAAATAGACTAATTTTTATGTGTTTCCCAACCTTACAATTATGAGATAAATCTCATTTGGTTGTGGTGTATAATCCTTTCAATATACTTCTGGATTTGTTATGCCACTATTTAAAAAAAAAATTGTTGCATGGATATTCATAAGTCATGTTGTTTTTGAGGGTTTTATTTTTCTTTTGATGTCTTTGTCTGCTTTTATATCAGAGTAATAATGGTCTCACGTACTCAGTTAGGAAGTATTACTTCATCAATTTTTTATAATGATTAGTGAAATTTTAGCATTATTTAAAAAAATATTTTGTAGAATTCACCAGTGAAGCCACCTGTTTTTGAATTTACTTTGACAGTTGTTTGATTATTATTATTATTATTATTATTTGAGACAGAGCTTCAAGCTGTCCCCCTGGGCAGAGTACTGTGGCATCACAGCTCACAGCAACCTCCAACTCCTGGACTCATGCGAGTCTCCTGCTTCCACCTCCCAAGTAGCTGGGACCACAGGCACCTGCCACAATGCCTGGCTATTTTTTTTTTTTTTTTGGTTGCAGCCGTCATTGTTGTTTGGTGGACCCAGGCTGGATTCGAACCTGCTACCTTAGGTGTATGTGGCTGGCACCTTAGCCACTTGAGCCAGAGGCGTGGAGCCAGTTGTTTGATTATTATATAATCTTTACACCTGCTAAAAATTTGTCTATTCAGGTTTTTTATTTCTTCTTCAAAAATTTATTTTTATTATTAATTTCTAATTTAATTTGATTGTGGTTAGAGAACATATTTCATATTATTTTAGTTTTTCAAATTTACTGAGGTATGTTTTATGCTTTAACATATGGTCTATGCTGGATAATGTTCCACATGCATTGAAAATAATGTGTATTCTACTATTTTTTGTGTACAGTGTCTACAATATGTCTGTTAGGTATAATTGGTTAATAGTGTTATTAAAGGCTTTAACTTCCTTGCTAATCTTTTTTTTTAGTTGTTTTATTCATATTTAGAAGTGGGCTATTAAAAATTTAAACTATTATTTTTGAATTGTCTATTTTCCTTCAATTATATCTGGTTTTGCTTCATGGATTTTAAGGATCTGTCGTTAGGAGCATAACTGAAATGTCTTCTTGATGGACTAATACTTGTAATTATAAAATATTCTTCTTTGTCTCTCA